GGTTTCTGGTCTTTCACCAAGGACACACAGGCCAACTTTACATTGTAACCACACCCCCTACCCAGATTCACCAAGTATTCACCATTTTTCTCAAAACAATATACATTTTCAAATATGTTAATCATGCAACAATGTTCAATGCAATGGATGAGAAAATAGTTTCAATTTTTCTAATTCTCATGAAATTTTTACAACAATCATAGCTATCCTCCACCAATAACCCAAAACAAATATATCTAAACAAATAATTAAATTCCTTATAGATAACTATCTCAAATTTCAAGATGTAAGTGGTAATACATACCCAACTCCACCATTCTCATCAACATTAATCCAATTTCACAATTTCAATATCAACCCCATTTATCAATACAAAATCAACATTTGAGATTCTAAGGCAAAAATCCTCTTTTCTTTGTAAACCATTTCTCAAGGTAAAAACCCATCATTTCATCATGTTACAACAAAAAATATCTATCCACCACCATTTTCAATAAACCATTTGAAAATCTCTCTTTTTGATATCAAGCCAAAACCTAGGTTGTTCAAAAATCCACTTTTCACAATGTTGTTTTATAAAAACAAATAATCAAGTTAGAAATCATAAGGAATGCGGAGAAATCCCTACCTTAAGCTTGGAAGAGAAGAACTTGGAAAAGCTTAATGTTGGTGAAACCACAAATCTCTTGGATCGCAAGGAAGCTCTTGACACGATCTACAATCTATCTCAAAGGATTAAGGTGAAAAGATAGTTCTAGGTGACTAGATCTAAGAATCTAAGTGGGAAAAGTAGAGTTTAGAGAGAGAAGAGGAACCAACGGTGTAGAGAGAAAAATAGAAGGAAATAATGAGAGGAAAGTGTTTTAGAGCCTATTTATAGTGGCTAGGTACTAATAGAATAATAGTCCCAAGGTCAACAAAAGGAATAATTCAAAACCCCCATCAGCCCAAAAATCTACAAAATACACACAAGGGTCGGCCCTCAAGACAGTGGTGTCAACCCTCAAGAAAAAAAGCTAAGCTAATGTTTGCAGCAGACAAGGGTCGACCGTAGGAACATATGGTGTCGACCCTATTTTTTAGTAGACAATCCATATCAAAACAGCAAGAGAAGGGTCGACCCTGAGAACCCATAGTGTCGACCCTATTTTTTAGAAGCGATTTTCAGGATTAGTAGCAAGACAAGTGTCGATACCACTAGGATTGGTGTTGATCCCAGATTCTGAATCCAAACAAGAAAAAAGAAATTAACAATAGCTACGGACATGGTTTCCCGAATTCAAAAGCAATAAATGGGTTGGGTCCAAACCAGAATCGCTATATTCTCTCTCTAACTCTCACTTTCTCTCTTTCTCTCTCTCTCTGTATATATATATATATGGTTATATGCACGAACAGACTCACGAAATGCGAAATATTTTGAGAGTGGGTTTGCTTTATGTTTTTTTGAACATTTTTTTATAATGTTTTTTGGTAATAAAATGTAGAAACATATATTTAACTATTGGATTTTTATTTTAAAAAAAATTTGGTATATCTTGGATATGTTAAATTTAGCTCCAAATATATTTGTAATTATTATTATTATTATTATTATTGTTATTATTATTATTATTTTTTGTTCTTGTGTTAAACATATGCAGATCTTGATAAAAACTCTTACTGGAAGCAACTTAGTACTATTATTGATCTATTTAATTGTCTCAAACGATAATGATGTTGTTGTATGGTTATATATTCGGATATATATATATATATATTTTCCAGAGTTGTCGTTCATGATAATGATGATGAAATAGATTGGAACAAGAAGAGAGAGAAGACGAAGAGAAGATAAGATGAATTTGTGATGTGATAATCTGTTCTATTTTATTATTTTTTGTTCTTGTGTTAAACATATGCAGATCTTGATAAAAACTCTTACTGGAAGCAACTTAGTACTATTATTGATCTATTTAATTGTCTCAAACGATAATGATGTTGTTGTATGGTTATATATTCGGATATATATATATATATATTTTCCAGAGTTGTCGTTCATGATAATGATGATGAAATAGATTGGAACAAGAAGATGAAGAGAAGATAAGATGAATTTGTGGTGTGATAATCTGTTCTGTTTTTGTTGTTGTTGATGATGATAAACAAATTGCAAATGGATAAATAAATAATAAAAAAATATGTTTAAAATAGCTAAGATATGTTCAGATTTGTTCAAATTGCTCAAAATGGCTCATATATGAATCTCAAGCATATGGCATTTGATATAGATAAATTTTGAACAAATATAATCAAAATTTCAACAGATAGAATTTAGGAGGAAAAAAAATAGCTAATAAAATTGGGGTATATAGATTTAAACAAATAAATAAAAAAATTGAACAAATAATAAAATTTGGATAGATATTTGAGTAGATAAGGCTAAAATATTGAACAGATAGTTAAAACAATTTGAATAGATAGATATAAAATTTGAACAAATAGAAAATAATTTGAACAGATAGTAAAAAAAAGTCAACAGATAAATTAAAGGGTAAAATTAGAAATAAAATGTCTTTTAAAACAAATAAAAGGACTTCTTGCTAAACTATTTTACAAAGCGTAGATCTTTCACCAATAAAAAATATCTACTAGATCTAATACCTTGTACCCTACGTAACTTGGACTTTTCAACAATTTTCTTGATTATATTTTAGTCAGCAATGGGCATCGGGTTGGACTGGGCTTTCAGAATATCAGAAGAACGGGAAGTTATTAGTTGCTCTAGTGCATTGTCATGTAGTGCACCATATATATATATATATATAGTGATAAATAGAGAGAGTGAGATTTATAATTTTATGTTGGATAATTTGGGAATATGCAAGAGTATGAAAGTTTATGATTAATTTAGGGTATGGCCACGCGGCTACTAAGACCAACTAATTATTTTTCCAAAAGAACTATCATCAATAATAAACCCTCCAATTGACTATAATTACCATGTGGTGTGATGATTACTATTGCCTATGTTTGGGAAGTTGGGTTTGAGAATTTTTTGGCTAAAATAGTCACAAAAAATAAAGTAGGCTTTTTAGCTCAATAAGACAAAATATCACATCTAATCCATAATTATTGCATTCTTTCTCTCACAAAAAAGTTAAAAAAGTTAAAAAAGCTAAAAGTCCTTCCCAAACTAGATATCAAAATAAATTATTTATATAATATGAGAGAGATGAATGAGGAAATAGATAAGAATTCATGAACTCATGCACACTTGAGTGGTTTTTGTAGTTTTTAAGTGAGAAAATTAAAAAGTAAGTTTTATGTTCTACTATTTGTGTAATATCGTACAAGCCTGAGCTTTCCTTCCATCTAAAATCTGAACTAAAGAATGTTATCGGTTGAGATATTTTAACAAAAATATAAGTAATAATGGTTTAATTGCTTTATCATTTTGTTGTTACAAAGGCCATAGTAAGTTGATAGGTTACAAAACTAATATTGTATTCATAATTATTATTATATTCAATATGAGGTTTTTATGACTATATAATTAAGTGTATCTATGAGTGTTAATATACTACAAGAAAACACATTTTTGGCAACCATTTTTGGCTACCAAAACAAATTTAGTCGCCAAAAGTGTGGGAATTGGCTACCAAAATTAATTTTAGTCGGCAAAAGTCAGCTTTTTAGCTACTAATTTTTTTTAGTAGGGGAATGTTGATTATTGGCGACTAAAATAAATTTAGTAGCTAAAAATATTACAATTGGCCACTAAAAAAATTTTTAGTAGCTAAACATATCACAATTGGCGACTAAAAGAAATTTTAGTAGCCATAGGGGCACCTTTAGCTACTAAATTGTTTGGTAGCCGAATGAAAATAAAAAAAATTTAATTTTGATCTTTGGCAACCAAAATTTTGGTCGCCAAAAATATATTTTCAGCGACAAAATAACTTTTAGTCGCTGTAGACCTACTTTTGGCTACTAAATTGTTTGTTAGCCGAATGAAAATAAAAAAAATTATTTTTCATCTTTGGCAACCAAAATTTTGGTCGCCAAAAATATATTTTCAATGACAAAATTCCTTTTAGTCATTGTAGACCCACTTTTGGCTACTAAATCGTTTGGTTGCCGAATGAAAATAAAAAATTTAATTTTTAATCTTTGGCGACCAAATCATATTTTAGTCGCCAAAGATGACCTATATATATATTTTGTACCAAACCAAACCCTAAAATAATCAGCACCTCTCCCCCCCTCTCTCTCTCTATTTTCAGCGTTGCTCCTCTCCCCTCCCTCTCTCACTGCTGCTCTTCCTCGCCTTCGCCGGAAATCGGAGCACCTCCTCCTCCGCCATCGCCATCGTCATCGTGAGTACCGCCGCTCTTTTCACGCCGCCTCCTCCTCTACCGATCTTCATAGATCCACCGCCACTGCCACGAGATCCAGAGGCTTCATCGCTGAGATGAACTCTGCTCCATTGATGCTCCGTCTCGCGTATGCTTCTCACTCTCTATCTATATATATATATTTATATATATCTATATATATATAAATATATATATCTATCTCATTTATCTCATTTATCTTATGTGGTGTTTTGGGTTTCTGAAATTGAAGCTTTGAATGTTTGTGTTGTCTTTGAACTCTGTTTTTGGTGATATGCAATAATAAATTTGAGATTTTTTTTTTCTTTTCCCCCTACATTTTCTTGAATGCCAAATGGGTTGTTGTTGTTGTTGTTGTTGTTGTTGTTGTTGTTGTTGTTGTTGTTTATCTTATGTGGTGTTTTGGGTTTCTGAAATTGAAGCTTTGAATGTTTTGTTGTCTTTGAACTCTGTTTTTGGTGATATGCAATAATAAATTTGAGATTTTTTTTTTTCCCCCTACATTTTCTTGAATGCCAAATGGGTTGTTGTTGTTGTTGTTGTTGTTGTTGTTGTTGTTGTTGTTGTTGTTGTTGTTGTTGTTGTTGTATGGCTTTTTTGGTTTCTGATGTTGTTGTTGTTGTTGTTGTTGTTATTATTATTATATGGCTTTTTTGGTTTCTGATGTTGTCCTCAAGTTCAGGGATTTAAAGAATGCAAAGGAGGACTTGAGCAAGAATTGTGTTGCACTTTATGAGGCTTCAAGTGGTGATGGGTCGTTAAATGATGATGGTTTGTTTTCTCTTTCCCATTTATTTGTTTATTTATTTATGAAAATGACAGATACTTGGTATTCTACCTCTGACAATGATTTATATATAGTTCAAAGGCTCCTCAAGTTAAATTGAGATTTATCCTAACAATTTTGGTTGATTGCATGATGCTTTTTCTTGCCAATGAGGCTTCAAGTTTTCTAACAAGTAATGGGTATTGGTTCTTTTCTGAAGGGCATTGTGGAAAATCATCAACATTGCCCGACTCCACTTTGCCTCACAAAGAATGTCCAGATGATGGTTACATTTCTGTTCCTTTAATAGTTTTCATTTTCAATGCTTTTCTTGGCAATGATTGATTATTGGTGGCTATTTTTAGTGAAGGGTATCATCAGAAATCATCAAAATTCATTAATCCTTTCTTACCGTTGCATTTACTAGTTTGCATTGTACATCACCAAACCATTTTAATCTATAATCTGTCAACTTTACTTCAATTGGTGTTACTCCTAACATTTCATTTCATGATTGTATTCATCTCTAATTTTTTCTTGCTCCACAGATCTAACTAAGTATCCTTATCTCAACTACCATAATCTTTACTAACCATACAACATTCCAATTCTAATATCTAATTGTTATTTCCCATACATTACATTGTTGATGATTTTGACCCAAATAATGTTTTAAAAACTGCAGATTGGGAAGCTATTGCAGATCGTGCTCCAGAGGAACTACTTTCTCCACAGTGCTTGCCCGAAGTCTCGAAACTATCACTGCAAGATGCCAAAACTCAAACTCCTAAGCGGCGTGGAAGAGGAATGTTCGCATACACTACTCATCGCATGTATAGTGATCAGCAGTCTCATGGGTTTGTTGTTGGTAATTCAGAAAATGAAGCTATGTGCGATAGTTCAGAAGGAGATACACAGATAAGAAATGGTATGTATCAATGTGAAATGCATTTGAAGGCAGATAGACAGATAAGAAATGGTATATATGCTTGATGTTCTTAGTGGAAGTCTTCAACTCACTCTCATGGCACAGAGTGAGTTGTATGAGGTATTCAAGTTGGACTTTCAAGGAATCTCAAGGCACTAAATTATGGAAGGCATTAGACATTTCATAGGATAATATTGTATAATGCTCCTCTTTCACGTCATATTTATTTGGATGGAGCTGATGTGATTAGTCAGATGTCCTTCAGTAACAATTAAATCCCTGTGTTGCTTACTCACTCTCACGGCACAGAATGAGTTGTATGAGGTATTCAAGTTGGACTTTCAAGGAATCTCAAGGCACTAAATTATGGAAGGCATTAGACATTTCATAGGATAATATTGTATAATGCTCCTCTTTCACGTCATATTTATCTGGATGGAGCTGATGTGATTAGTCAGATGTCCTTCAGTAACAATTAAATCCTTGTGTTGCTTCTATTTGTTTGTTATTGGCTTTCATGATGGTGTTGGACTAGGAAGCATAGATACAGATACGACACGATAAGTATAAAATGATGTAGTGATAAGGGAGGCCTTTTAGGGGCCCTGATCTTTTTCCTTTTACCCTAGTTCACCTCTTCCCAACATATATACATATATACACACATTCATTATCTAACTAAAATAAGGAGCCTCCCAATGTAGAGATTGGGATAAATTAGGGGCTCATAGTGTTATTGATAGAAGTACAGCAGGTTGGATCAGTCATAGTCTGCAAAATGTGTTCATTAATTTCTTCCCACTTTAGATGCTATGAGAGAGGAATTGCGGCAGGAATGGAAGGGTGATGGAAGGCAGCTGGGGGAAGGGATATGGATGGGTAATAATGGCTTTTAATTGTATTTCTAACTGCAAAACTGTTGTTGGAAAGTTACTTGATTATCTCCTTTATTACTTTACAGATTTTCTACTTCATTGGATTTGCATTTCTTTCTCTCAAAGCGAGGCTTCAGGAGTTGATGGGCGAAGAACAGGTGCCTTTCTTTCTTTCTTTCTTTCTGTCTATCGGTATAGTACATAAATATTTATATAAGTCCAGTACATTTGTTGGGGAAGAAGTCCTTTAAATGAGCAAATTTAAGTTCCGTTAATTGGATTAGGTACAGACCTATTGGCTCTGTTTCATTAGCAGAATTAATAACAAGGGAATTGATAATCCATAAAATTAGTGTATGATTAGTTATCCAACTAGATTAGTGGAATAAATAATTTCCTCTTGTCCATGTTTATTTTGCAACGATAAATATAAAAATATGTAATTCCAAATTATAACCACACATTGGAATGTGAATCCTATAGATTACTAATCTCAATCCTATGCCATAATCCCTCAATCAAACAGACCCATTATGTATAAAGTGACCTTCTTAAGATTAATTGAGCAAATTTTAATAGTTGAATCAGTAACCTATTTGAAAGAAAAAGACCAACAAAAGTAGATTTGGATATATTATGAAGAATTGATCTCACCTAAAACCTAAGTTATATAATTCAATGCAACCAATGAAAAATAGTTACATATGAGAACAAAAGTACTGAAATTAGCATAAAATAAATACAGTTTCATAGAGATCACATAACAAAAATTTGAAGCAAACCACAATTAAAACAAGGCAACCATACCTTAAGATTGGGAACTTGATCAGCTTCACCTTCCGATAACAACACAACTTTTATATATCTTATATATATATGGAGGGAGAGAGAAAGAGAGAGAGAGAGAGAGAGAAAGAGAGGCTCACCCTTTTTCCCTACCCTCCCAGAACTAGAAATAAGGGTTGCGAATGTGCAATTGAGGTAATATAGATGGATTGGTTGCCACATTATCGGTCCTTAATTTGTGATTTGTACTTCTTACATTGGATTGAATTTACTAACAGGCACAAGACTAGGTACCATATTGGACAACTGGTGAAAGAGGCATCAATTAAGCTTAAGCAACCTACTGAAACAAATCAGCATATTGAAGTCAGTGTGAGTTCACATGTGATTGGCATTCTCAATTAGCCATTTTTATGCTACACATAGTTACCATCCTACTTTTTTTGCTTCCTCTATTTACACTCGTGTAGACGTCCCCGAACGCCCCGGGAGGAACGAGCTCCCGTTCTGTTCATTTTGGGGTCACTACAGCTCAGGACTCTCAAATTTGTCACGGTTCTAAATCTGAACCAAAGAGTCCAAATCCGGCAAATCGTTTTGAGAAAACAGATTTTGAAAGAAGTGCCAAACATGGACTGCTTTGCCAGATACAGAGTCGCCACCTAAATGTTTTTAAATGGGAAATTTAGGAAACCCTGACTCGGTGCCAAAGGCCACGTGTCCGTCATCACCAAAGTTGCCTCGGCTCGGGAACTTGGGTACGATTGGGGAAGGTCACTTCGTGAGCACCCCCGCTCGCCCGATCAAAGATCGGCCTCTACTAACCATGATATCTATTTTTGAAAACTTTGTATGTCCTTATTCCGGTTATTTAGCCTAGGTTACTATGTGATGCACACAGCATACAAGTATAGACCGGGTCGCCTGAATTGGAACAAAACATTTCAAAATTATCTTCTAATACCTTGAAATCTTTTCGTTCTACTCCAGGCCAGCAAGAAGATTGCTGATGCTAAGCTGGCAAAAGATTTCCAGGCAGTTCTTAGAGAATTTCAAAAGGGTCTTAGTTTCTTCACTAAATATTGAGATGAGTTGGCCAATATTATCAGTATTGGTTGAAACTTGACCAAGTCTTGACTCTGTTATTCATTTTGCTACTTGCTAAATTCTAAGGAGTAATTAGTTGATGTCTCACACATATTTCCCGCTGATTGACTTGGAATATTTCATCTAATGCCCTTGATCAAATTTTGTGCAGCAACAATGGCAATGAGCTGGAGACAGATTCAGCGAAGAGTCATGAACAATTAGCTCTTCTTGTGCAATCTAAAAGGTGAACAACTGAACTTAGCTAGAAACTTTAGGCCTGACTATGTAGCAATTATATGGAGACTACTATAATGGTTATCTTTTTTGTAAACGATTCATTGTATCATGTGTGAATTGTTATTATTATATATAATAAGCTCCTCTGGAGCAATGTAATTTAGTGCAGACAGGAGGTGGCAATGTTGGAGAATGATATTGTTTCCAATTAAAAATTTATTGAAGAAAGAGAACAAGGGATTGAAGAAATTCAACAGCAGATTGGTGAGGTGAATGAGATTTTTAAGGATCTGGCTGTGCTAGTTCATGAGCAAGGAGTTATGATTGGTAAGATATTTTTAAAAAAAAATTCTTCTTCTTCTTCTTTAAATTTATTTTATAAAAAAATCTTCTTTTTGTACACACTGACGCTTTAATTTTACAAGATCTCCGTTTTATCTTCCTTCAGATGACATTAGCTCAAACATTGAGAGCTCTCATGCTGGAACTGCACGAGCTACTTGCCATTTTATATGTAAGAATATCTATGTCATTAACTGGGAAGCTTTTAAGCCTTCTTAACATTTTATAGCTATATAATTTTTTGACACCAAACTAATGAATTTTATTTTTTTTTGCAGATGGTTTTGCAGATGGTTTTATAGCTATATATCCATGGATATATAATTTTTTGGCAATTACGGGTGGGCATTGTTTTTATACCTTTATCCGTATATATAGTGGTTCGAACAAATTAATTTGGTTATTCATGTATTATGTATGGATTTAAATTATTGACGTTGGATTAGACTTGGAGTGTATGGAATTTGTATTATATATAGAATTGGACGTTCAAGATTAATTTTTTGAATGCTTGGAACTGAAATGTGTGCACGTTGTTGAATGCTTTAATGGTTGATAATATATTTTAGTGTTGATGGATTATATTGTTTATACAGGGTACAGGTTGTAATATAAATGAATACGGGTTGTTTACTATTTTTTTTTAAAAAAAAAAACAGAAAATTATTTGGCCACTAAAAGTTTTGGTAGCCAAATAGGTAATCAAAAGTTTTGGCTACTAATAATTTAGTAGCAAAAACAAAACGTTTTTGCCACCAAATAATTAGTAGCTAAAAAATTTGAGAAGGAGAGAAATAAACTATTGGCCACTAAATTTTTTAGTCACGGAAAAAAGAGTATCATTTGGTGACTAAAACTTTTGGTGGCAAAAAGTAAAGAAATTAATCTTAATAGGTTTTTGGCTACGAACAGTTTTAGTCGGCAAAAGTCACCACGCCTAAGGTAGAACTTTTAGTGACTAAAAATTTAGTTGCGGAAAGGTCACGTTTGTCGACTAAAAAAAGGATTAGTAGCTAAATGTTCACTTTCGGTGACTAACGATTTAGTGGCGAAAAGATACCATTTGCCTACTAAAAGAAATTTAGTAGGGAAAAGTTTCATTTTTTGGCGACCAAATGAAGTTTAGTTGCCAATACTATCGCCGACAGGGTATGGGTGACGAACTTGGCGACAAAAATATTTGGTCGGTAAAACGTTTCAGCGACCAAATTTATGCCTTTTGCCGACCAATAATTTAGTAGCCAAAAGTGACATTTCTTGTAGTGATACTTAAGTCCTATCTATACATATGGTTTTGATAATTTAAACCGTTTATTTCATAGAACTCATCTATATACAAAAATTAAGTTAATTTGATAATTACACCCTATTCAATTCATCACATTATTCTCAAAAAAAAAAAAAAAAACAAAAATTAGACATTAAATGAAAATTTGAAAACAAACTATCCATTTAAATTTATTTATTAATTTTTTTTTTTTTGGTGACAAGTGTAATAAATTGAACAGAGTACAGTTATCAAATCAATTTAATTTTTTTTATGTGGGTAATATACACAAAAGGTCTTACAAAATGCACAATTCAAAATGGGACCCATTATAGGTCTTACGAGCCCAAACAATCCCTTCCAGTCTATATATGGAATGGAGGCAACCAAATACTGTAGTATATAGTAAATATGATCTAACGATTTAAATTATTTTAACATCATTTAATGATTAATAATTTATATGTATATTTAATATATTTTATATATTTATATATATAATGTAGGCTAGGAGTTGTTCGCGTTGTTTAGTGTCTTTGTTCAAAGTGTTGAAATTTAATTTATACTTTAAATTTTTATCTAAACTTATACCGAATTTAAAAATATCTTACCTCAGCTCTAAATTTTTTTAGATTGAACTTAAATTACTCAGGCTGAATCTGCCCAAGATGGACCCTAATTATCATATATATCATCTTTATTTTGACCTCTAATGAGGTGGAAAAGAGAAAGAGAGAGACAATAGAGAGAGATAGAGAGAGGAAGGATGAAGAGTAAGGAATGAGACCCATTCCACATCATTAGGAATAAATTAGGAGTCCTTAATTAAAATTTCCAAAACATTTTTCTTATTGTATATATGGAACCTAATTATTAGATATTAGTAGTGATGTGTTACGAAGAACAATATGTTTTTTCATCTTATTTTTAAACTAACTTCTCCAATTACTTTATATTCTTTATCCATTTAAAATAATATTTTTAGTTTAAAATGTGAAAATCTTATTGTTTGATTAGATATAGTGATAAAAAAAAGAGTATTTTTACATTGGAAAAAGTTTAGAGAGTCCAAAAATAAGACTTTTAAATTTACACACAATAGAGTAGACTATTTTATGTCAATAATTATTATTTTTTAGATGAGACACTATGCTAATTTTTGAGTGATTTAAAAATCAATTACCTAACATCTTACTAGTACTACATTATTAATGATGAAATTAGAAATCATGTTTTTATAATCTTTATTATTTTGCTTTTATATTTTGGGGACTACTAGTCACATTTTGTGGAGCTAAGCCTATTGCACCTGGTGCCCCCTTCTAATAGGAGAGGGACAAGTAATTTTTTTTTCTTCTTTCTTTTTAATGAGTAATATTAAAAATTTCAAAAAAAATATAAATAAATAAATAAATAAATATACACAATACTCATATGAGTGCGAGATTCATACTACATGAATCCAAATTGAAAAATGCATAACCAGGATTTTTAGTTCTATAAATACCATCTATTTATCTGTACAAATTTTACCTATTTCTTCAATTTTTTAAACATATCTATCCAAATTATTTTACCATATCTTTCACAATTTTTTTAGCACATTTGTTCAATTTTTTAACCTAGTTATCCAAATTATTTTTACATCTATATGTCTAAATTAATCTATTTGTACTAATTATTTTTTAACCTTCAATTTTTAACATACTTTTGATCTATTTGTTAAAATTATTTTAATGTTTGTACAAGCACAAAATATTCGCCGGTAATATAATTCTGGTAATCGAGCTTGCGATCTTCCGAATGTCATCGTAAGACCTAAAATTACAAAAATGTGAACTTACTAGCGGGTGTATGCTGAAAAACTCCTTTGATGCCTAAGTTAGCATTCAAGATCAATATGGAAAAACGCTCTCGAATCTTGTGAATAGAATTGCATTACCTCGTTTTAGGTTACTTCTGAGCTTTTTATAATTTCATATACAAGCACAATATAATCTTCACTCGTATAATCCTATTAATCAAGCTTGCGCTCCCTCAAACGTTGTTATAACACCTGAAATCATAATCGTGAGCTAGCCGGCGGGTGTGTGCTGGAAACCCCTTCGATACCTAAGTCAGCAAGTAGACTACGAAAATAAAAGCTCTGCAAATTTAGGAATTATAATTGCAATACTAAGATTACATTTTGGTTTGAGCTTTTGTAGATTCCGCATGGCACAATCCTAGTAAGACTTTAACTCTCATTTGTAGAGTTCTCCTAAGAATCACATTCCTAAAGGATAATGCTTATTTGAGAATCCTCCTAGGAATCACATTCCCAAAGGATAATGCTTATTCTTTGACACCCTTTTCGCTGCAAACCAAGTGAGATGGCACGACTCTTTGCACGGCTTCCAGCTGAGCAACCGAACTACTTGACTCTATCCGCCACTGACTTAGCTATGTGACACACAACACCGTGCACAGCTTGCTCAGCGCGCTATCTTGCTGACGTTACGCGACTCTTTCTTTAGCTCGGTCGAAGCTTCACTCTCAACTCCATTTGACTACCTTGCTTGGTAGCTCGGCCATGGCATTGACCGCCACTAGGAAGTAGCTAGGTCCAAAAATATAAGCATTTACTAGTTCGGTCAAACATCTTTAACCGCCACTAGGAAGTGGCTAGGTCCAGAATTATGAGCATTTACTAGTTCGGTCAAACATCTTTGACCATCACTAGAAAACAACTAGGTCTAGAAATATGAGCACTTACTAGTTCGGTCAAACTTTTTGACCACCTTCTATCCTAGTTTTGGTCAAACCTTTGATCGCCTTCCAACATAACTTCGGTCAAATCTTTGACTGCCTTCCAACATAGCTTCTGTCACACCCCAAATCTAGGCATGACAGGCTGTGGCCCACAGGAACTAAGCCCAAGGCACATGTAAGTCTAAACATGAACCCAATATCACAAAAAATAAATGTAACGATAGTCTAGAAATAAATAAACCAAAACTCAATCCAGTGACATGTCACAAGTATAAATGGTAAAACCAACCATAACCAACTTCCAAAAATATATACTTAAATGAAACACAAACCACCCACAAAATAAAATAATTCTAAATAAAACCCAACCATAATGTATGCACAAAACCAATATAACTAGCTAAAACAAAATAAATAAATGTCCTAGAGGTCCATGTAATTGAGTCCCCGCTACGCCATGAGTCCACTCTAAGTCTTTCTATCACCTGGAAATAATAAACAACTAAGTTAGCTGATAGCTCAATGAATAGAAGCATGGATAGTAAATACAATTTTGAAAAACAGGGTTCAATTCCAAAAAAGATGTATATCACATAAACTAGATTGCCATATAGTTTTGATAAAGGCAATCTGTTTCAAAAAGATGGTTCCATAGTTCAACAGTTAAAATACTCATGTCTCTCAAGAACATAACAAATGACATTCTCCATTTAGAACAGATTACAACATGATCATCAATAATTTTCTGGGTACCAAGAATAACAAGTAATATGCCACAAAATTCTAAAGGCAATAAGCTCATTGGATCTAATATCGAACCAAAAGTCATCATCGACGTGGCAACTCGGGCCTTTTCTCTAAGACGATCCAATTAAAGGTCACCTAGCCCAACCCAGCCGATGTGTTTTCCTTACAATTGTTGAGCACTAGAGTCATCATAGCTCAACCTGGATCTGTTCCATAGTGGCCAGATTCACCACACACAGTGGAATAATTTCCCTCGACTTTTATATACATATGGTCCCAATAATCAATACAATTCAGTTTCGCAAAACATGGTAGTTCATCATTATAAACATGAGACCATAACAGATAGTTCACACATATTTCAAAAATAATTTAATTTCATTGATAATATAATAATTTATCAAAATAGTTTAGTCATGAAATAACAATTTAATTTTTCAACAGTTCAGGGTAGGGGAACATTTATAAAAATATGTAACATGCAACTACTCACCTGAAAACAGAATGATATGATCATCGAATAGAGTATAAAAGTACAATTAGTGCCCTGAACCAAGTATGAAAATTACACGTCACTACTAATTCAAAACTAATTCAAAAATACTAAAAAGAATAATAAACTAAGTATCCCACACTAAAGCGCACTAACACAGGTCAACCCCACTCACCGTTACTCTTAAATAGTACCTAAGTTTATGTTCTTCAAGGTCTAAAATTACCCAAGACATGGGTTC